TCGCCGAACTTGATGATTATCCAAGTTTTGGAAAAATTTCTTATTCAAAGAATTACATAGCTTATCGCTCCGCCAAATTTACCTGTAGATACACCTTGTGTCTTAAACAGTTCAGTTCTAATCTCTTAGAAAAACATGAACGAGTTTGCAGACTCGGATTATTCCGAGAAGAAGTTGATTTAGAATCAATTGAAATTTTTAAATCAGGTAACTCATTAAAAGTTTTAACCTCAATTGCACCCAAAAGGCTCATGAATTTCATCCCTTCACATATTAAAGTCGCTCCTAAGCCCCAACTTACTTACACTTCCCATGAATCAGAATGGAATTACAAGTTCGAACTATTCGCTTGTCTTCTTCAACTTCGTGAGGATAATCCAAATGATGAATTCCTTACCCCAACTAGCATTAGGTCTCAGACTAATTTAAAATTAGGCTTTTGGACTACCTTCCACAAAGCAAGAGATCCCACTTTACCGTTAGCCGAAGAAGAAGAGTTTCTACGCGAAATAGGTTTTCCTCCAGTTCATAAATATGAACCCGCTCCCTCTCGACCTCGAACCACCCGAACCTACCCATTCGGTCATCTCCTCATTATCTCATTAGAGATTCTGATGAGTGGTTTATCTCAGAAGGTCGATATGATTATGGCCGAACTTGTTCCTTCCCACAACTAGCTCCTGATACAAACGAGCCGATTCATCCATTCACCGTCGTCAACCCGTTACTCGACTAAAGCCCGAAGATCAAGAAAAGTCCGAAATGATATTTCGAAATGGTTTCGTACTCGCTCAGAGAACTGTGGAAATTCTCAAAATGCTTTTCCACCAATCCAGACCAACCCAAGAAAATTCTATCGAATCAACCGTAGAATTAAAGCAACCGAACATTTCCGGAACTTAACCCAAAGACCAATGGAAGATCTGAATGATCGACATTCTACTTTCCTGATTAGACAATTGGCCCAACACACTGATGCTTCGAATGTCTATTCGATTCATGCAGCATATTGCCGAAACCCACGACTAGATTTCTCTGGAAAAATGGTCTTAGCCCCTCATCCAGTATGGATCGTGATCGTGGATGGAAGATCCAATATTGTCTACGAAACCCTTGTCAAGTATAAATCCATTGAATACATGGACACTGGTTATCATGGTCTAACTTTCCAAGATCTCAAATTCGGAAAATCCCTTGAAGCCGTTCGAGATCAAGTAATTCAATTCCTCGCCTGTGCCAAACAGATCATTGGTGCTGGACTGATTACTCTTTTCAAAGCTCTCCAATTCCGTGGATGTGAAATTGAAAGTCTTCGATTTAAACTCCGCGATGTGACAATTATTTCCCCGTACAGACAATCACCCGCTCTCTCATTGATTGCATTCTTAGTCTTCTCAGGCTATACAATTAAAAATCGACCTCATTCCCCAATCGAAGATCACCATGAGACTCTATATCGTTCTGGCAAGAGATTGAAGAAAAGTCAACACGATTAAATTCGGTGTTCACAATCAATCAATTAAATATTATGTAATAATCACCAAGTTTCGAAACTTCACCGAAAGTTTTCTCAACTTGTAACCGATGGAAAACGCCAATGGCCTACCAATTGGTCATATCTCATGCATCGTCAAGAATTCCCTGATTATAATCCGAGAATGAATGCAACTCCATCATCATCAAAAACATCATCACCATCTCCATCAATCATAACCTCACCAGTGGTGCAAAGCCCAGTCATTGTACCCACTCAAGTTAACATCCCAAGTCCATTCATCAAAAAATCCGAACTCGAAAACTACTTCACCAGCTAATTCACCGATTTCCTCAAAATCCTCATCCGAAACCCTTATTGACCTCACCGAAAATTCAGGCTCATCATCAAGCTCATCAAGCACTCCTCTGGCTCTTCATCTACCTCATCATCAACCTCAAGCTCCGCATCTACTCTACAAGCCCATCTACCGAACAAAGCTCCAACGCTACAGTTGTTTATGTTCGTGAAGAACTGAATTTATCTGAAAATTCAACAGAAGAGGAAACTGAACCAAATCGCTCCGACGATATCCCTGATGCCGCTCAACCACCCAAAGGAAATTCAACCTCATCCGCTCCACCGTCATTGATTACCAGCTCACAGGAATCAAGCAACCAGGAAATCCACCTCTCAAGTCCGATCACACCTTCTCTATCCAACCCGCTCTTGGCCTAATTCACCCGCAAATTCATCCTCATCATCATCATCACGATCTTCAAATTCCTCTAGACGAATCCAAAACTCAGTCTTATTAAGGATTCTTAATCAAAACCTGGGGAATTGAAGGGTATAAAAACGTGTCCCCGATAATCCAGAATTTTGGATCACTAGAATGATTTGAATTCTCGATTTATGCTTATTTAATCTTTTCTTTAATTACATTACTCATTTTAACTTGCTTTTATTAACAATTTACTCATTCGCTTAATTGTTCTAATTAATCAACCTTAATTGTTTTGATCACTAAAGTGATATACTTTTAATCATCAACAATTGAGACTCAACAATTAACAAATTTAGTTCCTATTCAACAATACAAACTTTTATTATCCCTTTTCTATTTAACAATTAACCAAATTTTCATTAACCAATTAGAATTAATAATATCCTGAATTTCTATATGAAATCAAAATTAGTTAACCAATTAATTAATTATATTCCTATAAGAATATTTGATTAACAATTAACTAATTTTCCTATTTAACAAAATTTCCTATTCTTTCTATGTTAAAATTAAGAACACAAAAAAGTGTCACTTTAAGAAAGGAAAAACTTTTCTCTTTCTTTGCTTCTTTCTTTTGCTTTCTTTTTTCTTACAGCTTATTTAAGCCAAGTTACCTTTTTCCTCATCCTTTTGTTTAACCTGTTACATTGTTATCTTGGTTAAAAAACAAGAGCCCAGATTATCAAAAGATGATTTGTCTGCCCAATGTGTCTCCATTATAATAATGTTAACCCATTTCATCATTTAATTTTGTTTCATTTTAATTAATCTCTAAGAAGATTTTCCCCTATTTGTAATCAAATTTGTTACCCCCAATTAATCCACATTTAATCATCCTTTCAACTAATTGTAACCTCAGTTGGAAAATTACATCCAATTCTTACAGTTGAATGCTTGGTATAACTCTGTTAAGTCTAATACTCATTCAATTCCAGTTGAATATTTACTCTTATTCCAGTTCTCAATTAAGTTTTTCTTGACCATCAACCAGTTAGGTTTTCTTAATTCAGTTTAATAAAAAGTTCTTTAAGAAGTTCAATTAGTTCCATTTCAAAATTAGTGATCACTGAGTGATAAATTTTCGGTAACACGAGTTAGTGTATTGGCTATCCTAAAAGAATCTGTTCAATCTGATTAAGTGGGCAGATTAATCTTCTGATTACTCTTTCAACTTCACATAAGTTGCTGAGAATATTGAAATTCTCAATCTCTACGAGATATACACATCTCACCACGAACTCAACACAGTTCAACCTAATCACTTTCACGATTAAACCCCACAGTAGAATCGTTAATTGTGATGATTTACTGTTTCGTTTTATTAACTGTCTCATCAGTTTGTGGTTTAACAATGAACTTGATTGACAATTTATGATTATCATGGTTAAAGTTAATTGTGATTTATGATTTGCTTTTTAATTTTCACGTTTCTCATCACAGCAATTAACTTGATTGTTGTGATGTTATTGATTGATAATTGATTTTAAAAATTTCAAATTTCTCAATTGTTTAATAACTAATCAGTTTCCGGATTGATTGTCATTATTATCATAATAATGATTAACAGTTACAATTAACTTTTTGAATTAAATTATCTCCATATTGATCATTGAAAGCTTAATTTGATTAACTTGATTCTCTGTGAGATTAACAGATGATTTGTTAACAATTTAACTTTTTTTTGTTTTCGTTAATTGTTTCGGAAAAGTTTATTTAACTTAAACTCAATTAAAGTTCACAAACTTTTTACCTAATTTCTTGTTTCTTTTTTGATTGTAAACAATTTAACAGAATCATAATTAACTGTATCCAATTTAAATTATCAATCACTATTAATTAACTGTAATTGTATTGACCATCATAACCTTGGATACATTTAACAAGATGAAACAAAATTAAATCAAATTGTGACAATTAACCATGTTGAATTAACTGATTACCATGAAAGTGAAAGTGTAAATAATTTATAAACATATTACAACAATTTACTAATCAACTTTTAAGGTCAAATTTTAATTTTCTGATTGACTTTTAATCACCTGGAAGTTTATTAACCATTTTTCAATGTAATCAACAATTAATTAACAATTTAAATTGATTCAGTTGGTGTTTTTTTTTTGTAAGGGAAAAAAGTTTCATCTTAATAACAATCAATGATTATTGTTACTGATCAAGTACTCATCCCAATGATTATTAATAAATTGTTTATAATTTGTGATAGTTTAATTGTCAGATTAATTATAAATCTAATTAATAGTTGATCAGATTGAAATGAAATTGTTAATTTTTAAACATCAAGTATAAAAGTGAAGCAATTATGTTAGACTTTAATTATATAAAAGTAATATCTTTACACTAATTACAATTAGGGATAAATTTTCAGGATAATATTGCATCTTTTTGATTGATATCATTTGATTGCATACTAATTATTGTATCAATCGATTTATACAAGAAATAGATTTGATTGTTAATAATCTATCAATTAAATCCGATCATCATCATCATCATCTTTGGATGAGATGAATTAAGTTAACAAGTTGGGATAAAGTTCAATTGTGTCAATGGTGTTTGTAGTTATTGATGGAGGATGGAAATGAAACCGGTCAATGATGATGATGATGATGATGGTAAGAAGAGAGAGAGAGAGAAACTTGATGAAGACAAGGAGGATGCTGAAAGAAGAGTATGAAGAGCGAGAGCGAGAGAGAGAGAGAGAGAGAGTGAGTGAGAGAGTGGAGATCCGCCGACCTGATGAATACACTTCGAATCGTTGATATAAAAAGCGTTTTTCCCAAAATCATCTCACTTTCTCTTCTGACCCAAAACTCGTCGAAAGTAAAAGTTTAAAGTTCTAATTACAAAAGTTTCCAAAAACTTTTCAACAGTTCTAATTGAAAGGCCATCACTGTGGCTACTTTTTACCTAAGTGTCCTCTGTAACTTGACCAATAAGTTTTTCTTGTTTAATATTGAGTTTAATTAATTTAATCAACTCTGTGGACTTTTTAAAAGGGAGCCATTTATAATACGTGTATTTAAAACTGTTTTAAAACTAAATTTGTATTACAATTGACCATTGAAACTGACCACTAAAGAGAGAGACAGACCATTGTATTGTTCCTTAATCAAATCTACCATGAAATCGGTATGTAAATCTAATATAATCAATCAAATGTTCAAGCTTTAAATTATAATCAATTTAATCGTAAGTTTAGTAAACAATTTATTATTCATTATTCAATCTTATTGATTAAATTGTAAGAGAAATGTGATAATAATAATCAACTAATCTTATTATTTGATAGTTAATTTAAACTGATGATGAATAAGCTTAAAATTGGATCAATTTTAATATGATTAGTCTCAAGATGAAATTGTTCAATTGAGTTAAATTGTAAATACTTTGATTTATCCAATTGATTAACTTCCTATTACTTTAATCATTGATTAAAATATTAATAGTATCTGATTAGTTCTCATGTAAAACTAATCAATCCATTATCAGCTTGTTGCTTTCTCCCTTTTCATCCTCATCTTCATCTTCATCCTGAGCATCACCCAAATACCCTGAGGCGTCCGATTAACCCAAACAATTTTTACTACACTTTTACTACAATTTTCTGAATGTTAATTATGAATTTACAATATATATTATAACGATAACACGTTGTTAATGATCACCCAGGAGGTTTAGGATTGATCAACAATCATTAATTTTATTGAAATATTGATTCATAAAGATGCAAGAATATTATTTAATCACAATTAACTTTACCCTGAACACTTTGTTATAGTATTTCAATACTTGATAAGTTGATTACATTTCCTTCAATTGCTATAAATATAATTGTATTAACTGAATTATTGAGAAAAGTTTTGTTTAATATACAAAAACCTCAAAATGTCTGATTACAATTTGATTGTGTGTTGGTTGATTTAATTTGAAAATGTCTCTCATATTCAGTAAACATCATGTTAATCATCAAGTTGATCATCAGTTGCATCAATAAGAAAAGTTGTTGATTGTTAATATAACTCATTGATAAAAAAAAGGCTAATGAATCAATGAACAATCAACAAACAATCAAAAAATAGTTTTCCATTATTAATGATTATTCATATTCATTCATTTTTTTTTACTCGCTCCTCATTGATGATTGTAAATCTTAACCAATGTTGAATAAATAATTAACTAAATTGTGTGTGTGTGTGTGTGTTAATTTAATTTAAATTAATGAGGCCAACCAATTAAGTGCCAAAAGCTTTTCATTTAAATGTAGATCAAAAATCAATATTAAATTAAAAACACGAAATAATTAGCAAAAAAACTTCATGTATATGAATCTATTTTTAATCGTTGTCTCTCCTTAATCATATTAATCAAACTAATTATCAGTTAGCAATTAATAAATTGTTGATGATTTATCGAAATGATTAGCTCTCTCTTTCATTAATTAATATTTTTCTCTTCCTCTTTCCTTTTTTAATAGAATACTAATTATACTTGTAACTCTGATTCTTATCAAGTTAACATGATATTGACTACGAATTAGTTGATTGTTTGTTAATTTCAATTCTATTTGATATTGAATTACCTTTTTTCTTTTAAGGTGATCAGTTAATGGTGTTGATTGTTGCTTTCGACATTTGTCACTTGATTAAAGTAATTTAACAAAGATTATTGGTTATTAATTATTTGATTATAACGGAAATCAAGTGAATCCGGAAGTTAATTGATTATAAAACTTAAACATTTCAATTGTTGCTACTTGTTAACTATCATTAATGATGATCATCATCATTATTGTTGACCCATTTCATCATATTGTCCAAATGATGATCATTATTATCATGAATTATGAAGAGGATGAAGATGAAGATGAAGATGAAGATGAAGATGAAGATGAAGATGAAGATGAAAATATGAAGATGATGAAGATAATGATTCTCTAGGATTAATCATCAATATATTAATATAAATCTACATCAAACCTACTCACTATTATCTCAATCAATTGAAAGACTAAAATGTTGACAATCAATTATGACAATTATGATTAAGATGAATCTTATTGATTGTGACTAAATTATTACTAAATTTACTTATTATGACTACAATCCGATCGGATAAATTGTCTAATCAATTGATTTACTCTTTGATTACGTATTAACATGATGATTAAAGGTGGTTATTACATTTCCGCCAGAATTAACTGAATTAACTGAATTAGATCAATTGTTGATTTGTAAAAATTTACACACACACACACAATCAGCAATTTACTGATTGTCATTGTTGTTGTTGTTGTTGTTGATTGTATTATATAAGATGATGATTATCAAAAAATCACCATCATTATAATTGTGATTTATCAGGTTTATGAATCTTTGCTTGATTAAAGTTGGTTAACAAAAAAGAAATTGATTAACTTTGATTTCTCCTCAATTCTTAATTTTGTTGATTACACAATTAACTGTAAATTAGCAAGCTGATTGACCGGATATTAATCAATGAATCAATTAGGATAATAAGAGTCTGGGTTATGATTAACTGTTAACCTTTTTTTTTTCCTGGTAACAATTAACTAACTCGAACGACTTAATTGTAATTATTTAATACTTTTACTTGTATTGTGATTTCAATTATTATTTTTATTATTATATTGAGATGGACAACTTGTTACAATCAAGTTAATTGTGTTTAGTAACTTTAATTAAGTCAAATTAACTGTCCCTTAACATATATAACTCATATAATTTAACTGTTAATTGTTGTTATTTTTGATAACAATTAGTTTCAACCTCCTACCAGCTCAATTTGATGATGATCATCATCATTAATGGTTGATTAAGTCAAATGAATAATAATTAATTGTTGCAAAAAGTTTTACATCTCTAATCAACTTCACATTGATAATCATCTTCCTTATTGATTGTTATTTTAGTAACTATTCAATTACAAATTGTAAAGGCCTGATAATATCACAATTAACTCTCAAATTACTTTAATTGTATATCAAATATCATTAAATTGTTGTTATTATTTGGGAAAAACAGTAACTAAATTGTTAAATCGTAGCTTTTTTTTATATATAATAACATATTAATCAAACTTTGCTACAAAATGAATATCAATTTATATTAATAACATGCTAATCCTAATCTTTATCTTAATCACAATCAGAAAAAGTAAACCTCACCTTTAAATCATGATGATTAAGGGAAACATTTAATTTAAACCTTGATTAATGTTGTTGATTAATTTTCTGAATGTGTTTATTATTATGATGATATTTTTGGTCCTTTTGAACATTTAAACACGAAAAAAAAAATTAAACATTAATTACAATTAATTTGCTCAATCAATTTAAAGATGATGTTTATTAATTGTAATCATAATCGTAATCATAATCTTGCAACAATTAACTGTAAGTGTCAATTGTTCAGGCACTCAAATTGGTATTTTTGTTGTTGTTGTTGTTGATTTAATTGTGCAGATAAACAAAAGGCTGAGAGGTTATAATATATTATTAAATCAGCTCATTGTTGTTAATTGTTTCACAACGAAAATGATTAAACCAAATTAAACATTTAATCACAATTAAATTCATCTAAATAATCGTGATTTACTTACTACCAGAATTTAGATTTAGTTGAATATTGTTAATCCTAAAAATACTTGATTCTTAATCTTAAGGTTATTAAACCATCCAAATGTTATATCATCTTCATCATCTTCATCATCACCTTCCGTTTTTATCATCATTATCATGTTTTATCATCAAGAATTATCATCAAAATAATGATAATTAACATGTTGATTAAGTTAAAATTGTTGGAACTTTTTTTTCATCTTAATTTTGTTTTGTTTTTTTTTTCATCATCTTAATGTTTACCTTTTGATTAACAAACAGATTGAATCTTTTAATAAGTATTTTCATCATCCGGGAGAAAGTGATGAGGATGATAATGATGATGGTGATGATGAGGATGATCATCATCATCATCATCAAAGTCTAAGTAATAGTAATCACGTCAGAACTTTTTGCTTTTTGTTATTAATTATAATCATCGACCTGCGGCTACATGATAATTAACTTGATTAACTTGATCAACTTTTAATTTAATCTCTTCTTGTGTTTCTTCATTTATTAATATATAATTTGGATTGAAGATTTTGATTGTGATTAAGTTGATTAGATGAAATTCAAAGTCTCTCTTGTTCAATCAATCGTTGAAACTTTTTGTATTGTTATCGATTTTTTTTTCTTCTCATTTCGAGCTAACAATTTAACTTCCGTCCCGTTTTTACCGACTAGTTGATTAGTGTTAATCTTACCGATTATCACTGTTAATCCTTTGAATCTAATTCTATTGATCAACTTTCTTTCCAATTGTATTAAGATTGTGAATCAATGATTAAGGAAAATATCAATTGATTAAACTGTTTCCTTAATTATGGTTCATGGTTATAATCATAATCGGCTAATTTACTTTTCTTTGTAATTCAGATCAGATTCAATCTTTTACAATCAAAAGTGTATCAATAATGTTCATCAGATTATGAGCAATTTAAATTGTTACAATTTACTTTCGCTGTTTATAATTTAGTTAAGACGTTCAATTGATTAATGTTACCGATTATAAAGATTTTTTTTTTCGTATTATTTATAATTAACTTTGAATTTTAGTTTGATAAACTTATTGAATGGTGAATATTTGATGTAATTTAATAGCAATTTAAGTTTATATTTAACACGATTTATTAATCAACAATTTATTCTTTCATTTGATCTTCTAGGGTGTGGTATTGGTGTTTACACTATTATGTGAATTGGCGATCGCTCAAGTTTATTATGATCAATCGGGTTATGGTTATGGTGTTAATCCTAAGCCATCAGGGCTCGTTGAGGTTGAGGATAAAAAATTAAATCCAATTAATGGGAAGAGCGTTATTGGTACAACTGAGCCAATTGCACCACAAGAATCGAAACCTGAAGCTTATTTGGTTCGATTAAAGCCGAAAGAAGCTCAAGATTCCAGTTCGATTCCTAATAAGAAGTCTAAGTTTCTTCTTTTACTCAGGTTACCTGAAGACCATGAAGAAACTCAAGCTACTTCATTAAATTCAGAAGTTCAACAAAGAGATGAGCAAATTTATAGTCAACCTATTGGTCAAAGTCAAGACGATTATTCATCTGCTGGACCATCTCAACAATCATCTTTCTCATATGAGAATCAAAAAGATGAAGCTGGTCAACAATACAACAACAACAACAGCAACAACTGAACATTGGTCAACAGCAGCAACAAGTCCAGCCTGAAGAGGCTGAAGTAGGGCAACAAAATGATTCTGGTTATCAACAACCTTTACAGGCTGATGGTTATGGTCAAGCTCAAAATTCAGAGCAATTTCAACAGAAAGATGATGTTTACCAACAGCAAGCACAACCTTTACTACCACCTCAACAACAACAACAGCAACAACAAGATTTACCTGAAGAATTAGATCAACAAGCTAAAGATGAAGGTTATCAACCACAACAACCACAACAGCAACAACAGCAACAGGAACTAGGAAATGGTCCATTGACTATTCCAGGTCCTTCTCAGTTCCAGGCTTCCGCTTTCAAGAATGGTTTCAGTCCCTTATTCAATTATGAAAGACAACAAGGTTTACCTGTAGAGTCCGTCAAAGGATCAAGAAATAACTTCTTCCGATCACCTGTTCTCCAGGATTCTCCAAGATCCTCAACCGATAGCAACAGTAATTCTCAGGTTCGAGAGGAAGTTTCTTATGGCGGTCAACGAGATGCAGTCAAAGGTCAAGCTGTACAACCTCAATCTGCATATGCACCAAATGTAGATTCTGGTCGTAAATCAGCCAATTCATTTGTTCCCTCAGGCGACTCAAGAGATGCAACTAAGGGCTCTTTCCAATCCTCATCACCTTCATTCTATCCCTCAAATGACCAAGCTCGTAAATCTGTCCCACAAACTAGTTCTTATCCTAGTCAACGATCACCAATGAAAAGTCCATCTCAAGCTTATGCTCAACAACAACAACAAATTGAACAATCAAGAAAATCTAATCCAAGCCCAGCACGAGACTATTACGGTCAATCAGCTCAACCTGAGACAAGCTCTTTTGGTGGTCAACAAGGTTTCACATCAGGATTCGGATCAAATGAGGAATCTACTAAATCTGGTCCAAAAGAATCAACTAATTACGAAGCACAACAAGAAGGTGTTAAAACTCAATCAAGACCTTCAGCGACTCCATCAGCTCCAATTAAACAATCTTCCGGAAAAACTTCACCAAATTCTGATGAATATTCAAACGGCTACAATAGTCCAGCATCTTTAGCTCGAGCTCCGATTTCACCTTCATTTTCAGCTCCTGTTTCTGGATATGAAACTGAACAATCAGAGCAGCAACAGCCACAAGAACCTCAATCTAATCAGCAAGAGGAATACAATCAATCTGAACAGAATGATGATGATACTCAGGAAAAAGATGAACAATCAAATTTATCCGCTGATCAGCAGCAAAATGTTGACCCTGAGAAAAAAGTTCCAGTTATTTTGATCTCATTGCCTCCGGAATCAAATTCCTATCAACAAAATGATAATCAACAAAGAGATGAACAAGTTGAACCACAGCAACAACAACAACAGCAACAAACTGATTCAGATTATCAACAATCAACTGGACAATCAGCAACAAACTACGAATCAAATTTCAATGGACAAGTTAAAGGTCAACAATCACAACCTTCATATGAACAGAATTCACAATTACCTCAAACTGGATCAAAAGATCAACAATCAGGATCATTATCTGGATTAAAATCACCAGTCCAACGATTTTCAACTAAATCAGCATCACCAGTAAAACCTCAACAATTACCTGTTGAAACATCATCTGGTTATCCCACCGGTGGAGCAATCAAAGGTGGAAGACCACAACAATTATCACCATCTAGTGTAAAGGGAAATCAACAACAATCAACTTACGATAATGGTTATCCAAGTAATTTCCAATCGCCGGTTAAAATACTAAATCTGTCCAATCGCCATCCAGTTATTCAACCAAAGGTTTCCAACAATCACCGATCAAAGGTGAAAGAAATCAACCACAACAACAACAACAATCAACTGATGATGAACAAAAGCAATCACAATCTCCAGTGAAAGGGTCAAGTCAATCGACCCAAGAAAATGTCAAATCAAGTTATTCTGCTGCTCTTCAAGCTCCTGTTAAAGCTGCTCGAGCTTTCCAACAATCTCCTGGTTTCTCCTCAGAATTTCAATCAACTAAAGGAGCTTCCGATTCGTACTCTAATCAACAACAACAATCAGTTGACTCTGGTTACAATAATTTCCAATCGTCTCCTGTCCAGCAACAATCTCAACCAGAACAACAACAGCCACAAACTCAAGCTGATTTAGGCTTCAATAATTTACAATCTACCAAAGGTGGACGAGGTCAATCAAACTATCAATCTGTTTCTCAAGATTCTGATAACTCTGACTATCAATCACCATCGTCGGTCAAAGGTTCTGGACCACCAACTCAACAGCAACAACAACAACCAATCGCTTTTGGTTATTCATCAGCTTTTGTTGCTCCAACTGTTCAACAAACTTCATCAGGTTATGAATCTAATTCTTACCAAAGCTCATCTGATGGTGTCAAGGGTGGACAACGAAGTCCAGTTCAACCACCAAAACAACAACAACAACAACAGGTTGATTCTTATCCATCCTCACAACCAGCATTCGCTTCATTTTCCGCCTCTGTCAAAGGTTCCGCTCCTCCGCAACAACAAATGCAAAGTTCAGACGATGGATTCAGCTCAGGATTCCAAGCAGCAAATGTTCCTGTTGCTCCTGTTCAACAAGTTCAATCTGATCGTGGATACAATTCAGGTGTTAAATCAGCACCACCATCGCCATCATCATCATCTTCAGGAGTAAAAGGTGGTCAGCAAAGTTCTGGTTTTAGTGGTCAACAAGTGGATGAACAGTCCACTCTTTCAAACCCTCTACCAACTAAATCAACTCAAGTTCGAGATCCTAATGTTGCTTTGGTAATTCCAACCTACAGAACTAAATCAGGTCGATCACAATTAGCACAATCAACTAAATCATCTAATCGAAAATTACCAAACTCTGAATACTCAACCTTTTCTGCTCCCACTCAACAACAACACCAACAAGAAGTTAAAGGTCAAGTTAGGCCACAATTAAACACAAAGAGTTTACTCTCCAATCCATCAACATCCTACCTTCCAGCATTATCTCCCCCTGGTTCATCTAAATCACCATCACCTTCATTTCATTCATTTCCAATGAAATCTCAACAACAACAACAACAATCACCTAAAAGTTTACCTTTAACCCAAGGTTTACCTCCTTCACCCGCTTCAATTGCTCGATCTCGACCATCTCAAGGTTTTAATTTCCCCTCTTCACCAGCACAGAATCAACAACAATCATCACCCGATTCATATCCATCGTATTCGGCCAGTTCGAATAGTCCCATTTTTGACGATGAAGAAGATCAAATGGCAATAACACCCGACGCTATGGGAGCCTATGGACTTCGAACCAATTCACAATACGATTCACCATCACCATCAGCAACAAGTGACATTCGAGCCGTTGAACAGCCCCAAGGATCTGGAAGAGTAGTTTTACTTTTATTTGACAAGTCACGAATGAACGCACAGCGACAGCAAATGGCCTTCAACGCACCCGAACCTCATGGTGTCTATAAATCATAATCATATCCATAAGAATCATCATCATTATGCAAATTCATCCTAATCATTTGCAAAACTAATCATCATCATCACCGATTTCATTAATTTTTATCTCATTTTTCTGCTAATCATCATGATCATTCACCCAAATCAACTCATCTCATTCTCATCATTCCAGGTCTCATTTAATGAACATCATCTAAATTGAATCGTTACAATTAATTTAAATGCTAACGAATTAATTAATTCTTTTTTCCCCTTAATTGTGTTTTTTTTTACCATCAAAAGTGATCAATTTTTTCTTTAATTTTGTAATAATCTCTCAATGGAACTTTTTTCTCAATGTTGATTTCAAATGACATTTCAATCGTTTCCTAAGGCTAAATATATTGGAAGAAAATGTAATTCTGTTTTTATATATTGTTAAATTCATTTTTTTTCCAACCGAATTCTGATCTATCGACTTTTTCAATCATTTCGAGAATGAACTGTTCCTCTAGTTCGAAGTCCATAGAACACTTAACTTTTATCTCAAACTCTATTTATATTTTTACTTCAAATTCTTATCAGAATAATATCTGATTTCTATGGAGAGAAAAGGGTTTGATTCGCTAAGGCACACGCGTAACTTTGAAGGAGAGAAAATTGAAATGATCGCGAACATTTGATTAACTATTCGATCAACTTGGTTACAACTTCGAATTTACCTTTATACTGAATTAGAATATGTCAATTATGAGGTCACTATATTTCTATTTATTGTGTTTCTCTGGTTGTTTCTATCAGTTGTATTACTTAAGTGATTCTTTTTTCCAATTTCAAGTTCGTATTGAAACAGTTTTTAAGCCCCCGGGTGTTATTGAATTTCCAGCCATAGATTTCGCTATACCTGTTCTACGTGTCTTGAACCTCACAGCATTCAAAGCTAAGTATCCTGAATTAGTGATTGATCTATGTGAGCAAAGCGGTGTTGTTACCAATTTAACGATTGACACTATTGAAGAAAAATGTCAAAACTTATTAACAGCATCGACAAGTTTCAACTTCGACCTGGAAGATTATCTAACAGTTGGAGATATCGAAAAATTGACCATCGATTTCACAGAACAGGCCTTAATGTCAGTTACTATCAGCTCTGTGGAAATAAATTGGGCCGATAAATTTTGTAGCCTCGAGCGATATTTCAACGCACAAAAAGTATTCATGAGACTTTCATGTTTGAATAATTCGACTCCAATAAAAACGAAAACTTCTGATCTAATGAAACATTTTTCTCCTTTCGCTTCAGTCGGATTTTCTTTTAACATTACATCTTTCGGGATTCGCCTGAGCCACCCCAATACTAAAATCGACAGTAGATTCGATCGATATAAGCTAATCAATCTGAAACCTTCAATGGCCACATTAATGCGAATTGAATTCACCAAGTACACGACAAACTTACTTCCATCACCATATGAGTCTCATTGTGTCGACTACAATAGACAGGTAACAATGGAACAGTGTTTGAATGATGCCATGTTAAACGCACCAAACGCAAGTCTATTCCATGCGACTGTCCAACCTTTCGGTCTTCATCCTGGACATTTGAAATTTTCGTTTGATGAATCGTCTCTACCCAGGAAAGTTTACCTCGACTGTCTATCTAGATCTCGATACAATGAATGTTCATCAATCGATTACAAAACGTACATTGATATGAGTTCTGAGCATTCTGACCTTCAATACTTAGCAATCTCCTTACAGCCTGATACACCCGATGCGATTATGACTGAACATCCAAATCAAACTTTCAGCGAGTATGTAATATTTGTTGGAAGTGTTCTCAGTACTTGGTTTGGTATATCGGTTATAAATCAATTGTTATTAGGAGCAGAACTTATCCAAAAAGTGATTAATCGAAAAAAAAATCAACAATGATTCACATAAGTGAAACACTTCAGAGTCAACGAATTTGCCTTCAGGCATTTACGAATTCATCCAAAAGAAGATCAAATAGAATCAATCACGAATCGGATTCACTTAATCTCGTATTTTCTATGGACAAAGTAGCTCTAAATAATAACAATTAGTTGGAGATTTGATCACAATTAATAAATTGGCTGATTCCATTTTCTCTCCAAACATAAACACGAAACTCAGAATCAATAATAACCATGAAAGATTTCAAAGCCATTAAAATAATCCATTATCACTTAATGGGTTCCTCGTTAATTTATTATTAATGATAAATTAAAAGATAATCAATCGTTAATTTGTTGATTTAATTTTCCATGTTGACAATTAAACTTCTCTATCCATTTGCATTGGGTATTAATAAGGTCGGTATTTTCTCATTTGTTGTATGGATCAGATTTCACTTTTTCTCATTTAATTGAGGAAATATTTTAGCATTGAGCTGAATTTATATTCTAATTGTTTGCTAAGGTTAATTTAATTGACTGAATAATTTAATTTGATTGTTTTGATAGTATTTATTTGATTTTGTCTCAAAATTAAAATCATTTTGTACAATTGGAAGAATACGAATAGTTGTTGACAAGCAATTTTTGCTTCTTTTTTTTCATCATTGATGATTGGAAGAAATGAGGAAAAAACAACCAGATTAGACAACGAGATTTGGGTTAATTGAAACAAATTTGAATAATTAATTAATTGTGAGATTTGGTTTGTTTCCAGTCTTAAATTGTTTCCATTTGTGGGGTACCTGAGGTACAATTAATAATTGCATTGATCACATTTACATTGTTGACAAGATTTAGTTCAAGTTCAATCATACAATACATGACTCTTGGTCCACTAAATCATTGACTGACCAGAGGTTCATAGATTATGATTATTTACAGAGAGAGAGAGAGTGAGAGTGAGAGAGGGAGTTATGATATTTACAATACCAGAATGTAAACATAGTGTAAATTGATTCATATTTGATTTTAGTGAGCTGTTTTTTCATGCTATTTACTGATAACATAATTTGATGAACTACCATTTAATTGATTGATTGATGGAATACACAGTTCGGCTGTTGGATTAGCTAAAGGTGGACCGAGAATATAATCAATCAAATAGGCAGCAGCTGATCCACTTGTCAGGCCTAATGAATATGAAAGTGTCATTAGATTTCCTGTCAACTCTTTAAGTTTGTAATTTACTCGTGAAGGAGCCAAAATCATGGGTAAAGAACCAACAATTCCATTAGTGAATCCAAGGATAGATGAGAAAAATAATGGCCAAAAGATTGACCGGAAGACGGGTGATAAACGAGGAGAAACACATAGAGCAAAACAAGGGATTAAGATGAATCGAATGGAGGAAATTAAAATTAGATGAATTGGTTTGAGATTATATGCAAATGATGCCACAATTTTACCGATAAAATCGGTTAGATTAAAAGTTGCCATCAGAATAACTGGCATCCAACTTGCAAGGGAACAGTTAACTATTTCAGCTTCAATTCCAGGGAAAAGAGAAAGAGTAACCATATATGCCATGCAAATAGAGACCATGTAAGGCCAAATTAATCGGCTTGTTCTTAATCGCACTTGAATTCCGCTCATTAATCGTTTTTTCCAGATTTTCCATCTGTAGCTGGTTAACCAAGAACGAGGATTAAGATTAGAAATCAGTCCAGAGGATGAAGACTCTTTGTAGGTGACGGACGATGGTGTCGGTGGGGCAATTTCTAGCTTAGCGTCTTCATCGACAATCTCTTCGATTAAATCACCATCGGAATTCCAGCTGATTGGATCACTTAGCTCATTCAATCCAGTTTTCCATTTTCTTTTGTCATTAAATGTTGAAAGAACACTTTTCTTTGAGGTTGAAGCGGAATTGGTATTGGTAGAAACATTTAATGTTTGAGCTTCACGTTTCCATGAAGGTTCGGGTAAAACTGGAGGAACATAATTTGCTAAATCCTCTTCATCTATTCCAAAGGGCATATCAAATTCAGTTGAATCTGAATGTGCAACCCATCGGCGTTTCTTATAATCATCAGTAGACATAATCGGTGATCCTAATGGAACCAAAGAAGTTCCTAAAAGTGATGTACTCCTTTGATCCGTTTCTAAATAATCTACCAAAGATAATCCTTCGGTAAGACCTCGAGCATCTCCTTCAAGTGTATCTTTTACTCGAGCATCTTGTTCTGTTGTGAGGGTGGACGATGGTTTATGTGTCTCTCTAAGAGATGAACGTGGTTTAGAGCAAATTTCAATATAATATCTAACAAATGAAGTTTTCTGTAGGTAATTATGTATAACAATACAACAACCAATTAGTCCAATTGAGAGACCAAAAAATATAAGAGTATTAATACGCTCATCGGAGAAAATTAATTTGGTTATTATACGATTAACAGATACAATTAGACCGGCCGCTGATTCTCCGGTCATTACTGCTTGAGTGTAACGAGTGGGTAACATTGAAGTGTATCCATAAAATGATGACTGTTGAATGGTACAACCGAAAGCAATGATTCCAACCGCGTAAAGTATAACTGAATATGAAGTGGCCTGAGTGAAGGGACAATAAGCGATCTCAAATATAGCGATTGCTGTTAGGGTTCCAAAGGATAGAAAATAACCAAAATTGATTCGCCAAAAAAGGGGAACAATTTCAACCAGAAGATTGTTAATGAAAACAGCTAAACAAGCAGAAAGAATGTAAACAAATGAGATGTCAAACATGATCGATGTTCCCGGAAAATGATCTTGAAAATAGTCAACAGCAATGACGAAAGAGTTATAAGGAAGTAGAAACCCCACACCGGCCAATAAAAGGCCAAAATAGACTCCATTGTATTTATCTAAAGGAGCGGGTGATGAGGAAGATGAAAGGTAAGGTGGAGGAGGATTTAAATCAGTATTCGAGGTAAGATTGTTATGATGATGACGATGATTTCCGTTTAAAGAAGCTGATGATGATGATAGGGTTTGACGATCAGATGATGAGAGTAAATGATGACATAGCCTGGGGCCAGGAGAGGATTGTAAACAAGCCTCATCGTCGGCATTATCTTCCTCTGAGATGATCTCCTTTAATCGAGGTAATTTACGAGTTGATCCATCAATTGATGAAGATGAAGTAACAGAAACTGGTGATGATGTTGTTGTTGATCCTTCTTGTTTCCTGGTAGATTTACGAGTATAACGGAACTTGGGTGATCTCCATTTACCATTGGCAAGTAAAAGATAACCACAACTCATTTTAGATTTGTGATCAATTTTGATGATGATTTAAGGAAAATTTGTTCAATAGTAATTTGTTTCCATAAGAAAAATATATAAATTCACTAACCATAGATTCACATTGTTTTTCATTTGGTATTATTTACTTTTCTTTTTCAAGTCTTTTCCATCAATACTTTTGGCTGACGTTGCACAATTAAATCAAAAATACCATTGTAACAATTAACTTGATCACTATCACTATTATTATTATTATTATTATTGTTAATTTTGACAATCATCATCATTGTATCATTATAAACGCACCAAATTGTTTACCTTATTATTATCACCTTCTCGCAATCGCCACTTGATGTGTCATCATCAACAAGATCATAATTTATTATCCAACAATGAGAGAGACAATATGTTGATCATTAATTCAATTCAATTCAATGTGGGGGTTGGTATTAAGTAATCAATTCACAATTAAATGATAATATTGAAAGAAAAAGAACAAGAAAATTAGAGCATCAAATTAAAGGCACTAGGTTGTCATCTGATTGTAGCATTTTTGTTTGTTGTTTTGTTTGATCAGTTTGTGTGTCACTTTTGATGATGATGATGATGATGATAAATTGTTTACACAGAGATGATGATGATGATGATGATGATGGCGATGGAAATTAAATAGGGAAACGTTTACCCTTAACAACCATCAGAAAATTAATTACTAGGCTCCCGATTAATTGACCTTGGACTCGATTGGAAAAACATTTACAGCAATAAAATATTCACATAGGGAATTAAACTTGACCTGGTAAAAGGAAAAAGGGAAGGGCCGGAACATGAAAACCAACAAGAATACCAAGCATGCGGATGAGTTTCCATAGATTTTTAGGTTGATTATCGATTTTTGTCTTTTCTTCTCACCAAATGATGAAATACCTTTTTTTTCTGTTGCACATTCATTGGGTTTACCAGAAAGAGAATAGAATAAAAACATGTTCTCTTCTTAACAGAAAAGAAGAAGAGAGAAAAAAAAGAGAAAAGAAAAACAGAAGAGTGTAAATGGAGATGATGATGATGGTGTAATGAGAGTTAATTCGCTTGAGTTGGTTGGTTAAAGAACGAGGAAGAATGTGACTATTAGTGAATTAATAATAATAGAAAATAAATTAATCACCAATTGTGAGAGAGAGAGAGAGAAAGAGAGAAATAGGGATAACCTTGAGTAGAATGAATAAATTGAGTTGGAACAACAAAAATATTCTTTTGTTAGAGAGATAAAATCACTCAAATTGATTACCATTCTCATCTCTCTTTCTTTCCCTCTCTTTTTGTCTCAATCAAGTGAACAACAAGTAATAGGAGAGGTGAAGACACAAAGAGAAAACCATAACTTGATTTGTTTTCATCTTCTCCCTAATTAAATGAAGAAAATTATTAATAATTAATGTTGATCAACTGATAATCACCAGGAATTAATTATTAAATCATCAAGATAAAGATAAAGATAAAGATGACAAAAAGTAAACAATTGATTGAATTAAAGTGATGATGAGTTAATAAAATGGAAACTGAATCAATTTATTTACTTTTGAAATTAATTTTTCTTTTTCCCCAAAGATGGAGTTAAGATTAAGAATTTTTATCGATAAAAATTGATTTGAATTTGTTAATTGTTACAATTAATAAATTCTCTTTATTGTTGTTTTGTCTATTTTTCTGATTTTCGTGTTTTTTTTCCTGTTAATGTTACCATTTAATCCAAAAGAAATTAACTTTTTTCTTCTTCTTCTCTTTCACTTGATTGATTATCTAAACTTGTTTTCTTTTCAATGTCATTACTCTTTCATCATCTTTTAACCATTAAGAGGAAACGGATGGATGCTTTCACTTTTTTCTCTCTTCTTCTTCTTCTCTTTTTACCTTGACAATTATAATCATATTCGTTGATTACCTTTAAATTTAAACTTATTTACCTTCTAAGGCGTTAAATGGGCTACAGATGATGTAAATTATTCTAATATTATTATCGATTGATTTGAGTTTCTCTTTTTCTTTCTCTTCACATTCGAATGTATAATTCATCTAATTTAATGTTCCTGTCAATCTGTATAAATGTTTATTCATTCATTTCACTCTAATCATTTTAATCTGAATGGAAAAAAAAATTGGGAGTATTGCAACCGTGTAGAGAAAGAGATGATGATGATGAGAAGGGAGAGAGGAGAAAGAGATGGATGAGAAGGTGAGGAAGAGGAAAAAAGGTAGGGGAAGATGAGAAGAGGGAATAGTGAATAGTGAAAGGTAGAAAATGATGATAATGATGAAGAAAAATAAAAGAAAATGGATCGATAGCGTGTTCTAGGCCTTCGACAGGTGGAGTGGCTTCCATGTCCTTGAGGTCATCATCATCATCTCTCTCTCTCTCTCTCTCACTCACTCCCAGTTTTACCTCCAAGTTATTTTATCTTTGATCTCACTAATGTACCAAAGGGAGACTGGGAGTGAAAGTTATCATACTTTTCACAAAATCCAGAGAGAAAAAGAGAAACATAAAGAGAAGATCAAACTCCCAGTTCACTTTTCATCAACTCTCTCTCTCTTCTTTCTCCCTCTTCTTCTAGTCTATTTCACCAACATTGACCTGTCCATTTCAATCAACACTCTTTTACCTCTTATTCTGGTTTTCTCAATCTTCTTCATCTTCTTTTCTTCTGCTCCCTCTCTTCCTCTTTCTCTCTCCACTATTACCACCAAAATCTTATTCACGAAACTTGCATGTAACTGAATCTTATTTTCTTTCACTATATCGATTTCTTTTCATCTTCATCATCATCATCTTCTTCTTTTTCTTTCTTTTTACCTTTTTATTCAATAATGAGTTACCTGTTCTCACTTTCACTTGAATTTCTGTTCAATTGTTTACTCATTTGCTCAAATTGCTTAACTGTTCTCGGACTAATTGTTTATCCGATTTCATATCATCATTAAAACTCAACAATCTATTTCCAATCACCTTAGGAATCAATTGATCAACACCAAAAGCAACATGGACCAGTCACTTACCTTTTGTTGATCTAAATCATTTACTTACCTGGATTATTGGGTTTCTTTGTTTACCTGTGCATGGATCAATTTAATATCATCTTGATTATATTTCTATTTCCTCTTAACCATCACAACCCCTTAATTAGTGGTAAGTAAAGTTTTTTCTTCTTCATTCTTCAAGATAATTAATCATATATTTTAAAGTCAATAGTATGTATTCAAATTGTGATTTACTTTGTTGATTTTCAGGCCATCAAATTGAACTTATATCAGCGATCTCGATCTATCCTTGTTTAGATACTTATGATATACTCGTTAATTTGGGTTCTCTTTCAATATCAACACCATCGACAATTAACTCTACCTCATCATCATCATCATCAATCGAAGCCAATGAGATGATTGAATTAATCCGTATCTATACAACAGATGATCCTCGTCTTCACCTGAGGCAATATTATTACCTTAAAGAATTGAAAGTTCCTCGAAATCGATTGGTAAAAATTAACTGTAACTTTTTCAATCCAGAGTCTAAAAAGTATTATTGCTTTTCGTATGTTTCAATGTACAAAATCAACTCATCCATTTCAACATGGACACAACCTGAATGTAAACTGACCCTTAATGGTCAAAATATTGATCCAAACAAATCGCCCGCTGATTTATCAACTAATCATCAGAGTAACTTAATGACCAATGCAAACATATCAACTCTTAATTATGATAATAATAATACTAATCCATCCAAAGATTATCAATTTGCAATTGTATCTCCTCATGGACCATCATTTACATTTACATCAACCACTCATGAAACATCAACTGACCACAAGAAAAGTGACCTTAAAAAATTGTCCTCATCATCGCCTTTAGCTTTAAAGTTAATTAAATGTCGATGTAATCGTTTAATCACCTATCAGCACAATCAACCAAATGGGAACAATTCAAATCAATTCAATGATCAATTTCTATTGGAACTGTTTCCATGTTCACAATTAACTGATCCATTGTGTGTCTCAATCAATTCATCATTAGGTAGATCATCAACTCCATTGGATTTGGAACCGTTATGTTTACTTAATTTAACTCAATCAGCAATTAAGATACAATTACAAATTGTCAAGTCTCTATCCTGTGATACAATTAACACTGATCACCAACAATCATCACCTTCAATTAACAATCAGGGATCACAATTAACACCAATAATTAGGGATGGACTTTTCTCAATTGATCCACAATTAGAGGTTAATAGTGAATCAATTGTAACTCATCAATTAACCTCATCAACCCTTCGTATTGAATTAACCAACAATCAATATTATTTAATTCATATAAATCTAATTAATCAACATACATCATCTTCACTAATCAATGGTAATACTCAAACAATTAAGCATTTGTTTACCTCATTAATTGTCTTCTTCAGTTCATTTGAATTGATTTGGTTATCGTTAATTTCACTAACCAGTTTCATAATTATCTCGATAATTATATTTCTCTGTGTCTATTTAATTGTACCAATTAGAAGGCGACAATTAAAGGTACAAATGGTTCTACTCGATGATTTAGCAAACACTTCGACATCTTTTGTCGATGCATCGTCATTAGAACAGTTCGACTTCGATGAATCGGGCTCACTCGAAATGGACTATTATGACCTGGGAATGAGATCAACTCGAAACAATTCAATGGACAAATTGTCAGATAAATTTTCAGAGAAATCAATTAATTCTGTAATCAAATAACTGCACTAATTTAATCAACAATTTAATTAACTTTTTATTACCAACGTTAGGATTTAATTTCCTTCCTTTCAAATGTAATAACATTAAAATCAATCAATCAATTAGCCTTGATTGTAACTGATCAATAGTCAGTATCGGTTTAATCTTTCAATTAATACAATTAATCAGTGTCAACAATTAATTATTTTCATCACAATCAGTGTATTTGTATAAGTGTTGGTTTAAATTTTGATCCTAATCATTGAATGTAAATATAATGTAATTGTAATTAACTTAATATATAACAATTATTTTGTGATTAAATCTGTGATTAAATGTAATGATAACTAAATTATTTGACTAATTGTAAATTTAGTAAAATTGTAGACAATTAAATAAACTTGATTACAATTTGATTTCTTTTGGTTTGATTATGTTGATTACCGTTTACAGATGAAATATGATTAACTAATTGTTGTCATGCAATTTCTGAGTATTAATCAATTTAACAATTTATTTGAATTAACTTTATATTTAATATACAATTTAGTTTAACTTGTTTTTGTTCATGATCATAATCATGATTAAAATTAATTGCTCTTGATTAACCTTGACTTTTAAATTAAATATTTTCACACTAGAATGATTTTCAGTTAATTAGTACAAACTTTTTGTTTAATTGTAATTAATAAATGATGATACATGGAAAACCATATGACAGATAATTAATGAAATTACTCAGTGTAACATGAACTGAATCAGTTAATCATAATAGTTAATCAGATGAACAAAGTTAACCAATAGAGACAATTAAATAATAGGAAAATGATTGGATAAATAAATCGTAAGATTTGATCAATTTTTACACCAATTTGATTATTATCAGATAAATATTCAAGATGATTAGTTAATTGTAATGATTTTTCAATATCCTTTGGATTAATCATCATCTCAGACTTAATTGTTTCAATGTTATTTTTACTTTGATTAGTTACACATGATTGATGATTAAGAGCATAAGAGGAAATCTTATTTAACCAATTGTTTTCCAATCGATTTGATTGTTTAATCTATTGAATTGTAATAATAACAAAATTGTAACCAATCAATTAAATCAATTAACTTACATAGAAACAATTTAACTCACTCTTGATTGATTTTCCGTGCGTTGATTATTAACAATTTGTTTAAATAACAATGATGACTGATGTTGATTAATAACAATGATTATTGTTGTAATTAAGATGGTTGAGAAAATGAAAATCATACAAACAATCATCCATACATCAAGAGCCTAACAATTAGTAGATTGGTTGATTATAATCAGTTAATCATGATTGAATGGAAATTAAAAACTTACAATAATGTAGGAAACCTGAGGAAGGCGAGATTTTAATCCAGAAAATTGAGTAATTAACGCTAATTGTGTTGTTACACCGAGAGTGATTCGACCAGCAATATAATCATTACCCATCCAAAGTGAACAGTAACTAATTGTTACCAAGATAATTGTTGGTAAATAGATTTGAATTACATGATAAGATATGATTCGTGTAAAGGTTAGATCAACAATTAACCAGGTGAATAAAGCTGTATAATTGTTAACAATTAAGAAGGACGATAATTAATCATTGATCAACAGTTAATCGTGGTGATTATCATTATCACAATGAGATTAAAGGTAAAACATTTATTGTGATTCTGGGAGAGGGAATTAGATAGTTAATTAGATCAATTGTGGATTAAGTATAAATAATTATCGGTTAATTAGTTAATCGTAATTACCTTGATCATGAACAGTAGCAATTAATTTGTAATAGTTAATTCCCAATGAGTGTTGTAAGAGAGGAACCTTAGTTTCAATGATTACTCCTTTTGGAAACCATGAATAACTTATTTGATCAGCTGAATAAGAACCTGATTAGTTAATTATGATTAAATTCATTAGACTAATTTGATTTTAGTGACTCATTTCTATTATATAATCTAATGTTTACTTAATATAATTAACTTAATAATAACCTAAAGGCAATGTAAAGGTAAATATTTATCCAAGTGAAATGAATATAAAAATAACATTACGATTGAATTGGAATCGAGATTAGTTATTTTTTTGTTGATTTTTTCCTCGAGCAATTTGATTTAATTGTTAAACATTGAAATCGAAATTGATATTAACTAATTACCTGATCTGATTGAGACTCGACAAATTTGTTTATCAACTGGATACCAACGGAAGTTCATTGGACAAGGAATCAAAGCTGAAAGTCTAAGTAATCAGTTGATTAGTGGAATCAGTTTTCTTACCCAACAATTAACTTAATTGTTACCTAAGTGTGTATGTAAATGAACATTTATCGGGCCCAGAAAATGAAACAATTAAACTTTTGTATCCATCATCAAATGTTGTTGGACCAACTTGCTTAGCATTGTAAATGAAAGTATCGGGAACCCAAATTGTTGTTAAATCATTACCTTTTAAAATGATTGGTTTACCATTTGATTCAATTGTTTCACGACTTAATTGTAACAATTAGAAAGGTGATAATTAATCATCAGTAATCACTGAATGTAAAGAAACAGATTTACCTTTCAATTGATTGACGCACTGATTGACAATGTTTTTTAATTGTTATCCATTTATGAGTGAGAAAAAATTCCAATCTAAAATCCTTTGGATAATCAGTTACAATTAACTAATCACAATCATTCACATGTATTGATTAATATCTAGTTGATTAGTAATCAATTCTTACCATAGTTAATGGATTGATTGAGTTAATATCTTCAATGATCATATTCATTGTGATGTTTAATGGACCTTAAATTTAGATGAGCAGAAATTAAACTAACTGTTAATTAACTGTTAATTGATACAATTAACTTACCTTTATCATCTAGAGGCAGGTTTATTGATGTCCATACTGATTTGATAACAAGCAATTGGATTAAGTTAATTGTTAAACAAGATGATTTAATTTTGAGATCAAGTAACATTACTTTCAGTTTGATCAACTCGAACTAATAAAATCAACTGTTAACTGATTGTTGTGATTTAATGACATTTATTGGTTGGACTTTTGGGTCACTTTCTCGATCGATTGAATTGATTTAGTTTATACAATTGTAATTGTAATTGGAAATTATCGGGATTGATTTTACATGTAATTTCCTTGAATCCCATGTAATAATTAGTAACTTGTTTACATCAAAGAAATTCAATAATAATGATAATTGATATTTACAAAATTCTCATTCTGATCGAACTAAATTTCCGATCTCAGATCAAATATATTAGATTTTGTTTTTAGAATATATTAACAATTGAAAATCGATTTAACAAGATAAATTAAAATAGTAAATGATAGTAATACTTTAACAGGATTAGAAGCTCAAATCATGACTTAAATGATATTTTTTCGTAGTTCGATCATCTTTTTCGTGCTCGACGTGCTTTCGACAATCGTGATGCTGCACCGACCACAATTGAACTTTCCTCGATTTCATCTTGAGAAACATCTTTAACATCTTTCAGTTTATTTTGAGCTTCGACGAAGAACATTAGATCTCTAACTTGTTCTTTAAGGTCTTCGATTTCCTTGTCCTTCTTGTCGATGGAAGTTTTCAAATTTGATTCCGTCGATTGAAACTTTTGAGACCATAGATCTTGATTTTGAGAGAGACATTTGTTCATTTCTTTTTCCTCTTGAACATCATGAAGAACTTTCGTCAACCGAGAACTTAAATTGGTCACTTTCTTTTCTAGAGATTGTTTTTCTTTGCGTAAACGTTGGTTCTCATCTTCGAAATGTTTCTTCTCCTCCAAGAGAAGTTTATTCTCTTCTATCAATTCTTTGCTTGTTTCTTCGGCTTCTTTCTTAATAAGGCGAATCGTCTCCTCGAAAAAATGTCTCTGAGCTTCCAATTGATTGGTCAGCAAGTAAGTGTATTCCAACTGGACCGCATCAATCTTATCCTCGGCTCGATTTTCGTACTCAACGGCCACTGGTTTACCATCTGATTTGTTTTGAACTAATCGGTGAACATAATTATCTCCAGCATAATCCCAGACTAGATTATCCATACTCAAGTCGAGAGCAAAAGTATGTTGAGTCTCCAGATAGTGAGACTTGGCATGACCTCCGACATACCGACCACATCCGATGTGACCACAAATCAAACAGATCCACAAGGATTCTTGTGAATTACAGGCGAAACAATTGTTTTCAGGAACACTTTCTGGTGTTTGACAGTAACGACAAACTGGGCAACTTGTGTCACCCCATTTGTCTAAACACCCACAATGGAAGGAGTGATTACACAGAATTGTCAAAACTCCATCGACCGATTCGTCCATTTTTTCGAGACAAACTGCACAGGTCGGTAGTTCTTCGTGGCCAACAATAGGTAAACATCCATCAGAAGTTTCTTTGAATGTCTCAACTTTAGCCACATAAGCGAGATGACAAATTTCCGGTTCAATTGAATTAAACTGAACTCCATTGAAATTCTTGTAAAACTCATCTGAACTCTTTTCATCCGAGAATTTGATCAAAGCCATGAATTGATTGGGCTTCGAGTTACGAACAATTTGAATGTGTTCAATGTTATTGTTCACAGGACCAGTGAATTGGAGCAGATCATGAATGGTCATCGAAGTTGGTATCGAGTGGATACAAACAATGTCTTTACTTTCATCTTCTAAACCAAGTGGAGTTTTCTCATTCTCTTTATAAATGTGAAGAATTCCCTTAATTGTTTCCACATTATGATTTCCACTGAAAAAGTGAATTTGTTTCAACGACGCTGCTTGAAGTGGACCAGGTGGTTGCGCTGGTTGTTGTGGGACCTGTGGAGGTGGAGGTGGTGGGGTAGCAGAGGCCATGTCACAAAAATGGAATCACAACTCGAACCAATGAAACAATTACTCAATTCCAACAACAATCAATTAAAGAAATGACAACAACAAGAAAAAAGGTAAACAAAAACAAAGACGAAAAAAACTGTCGCCATCTATTGATGAAAGAAAAGAAAATTTCTAAAAAGCGGATAAAATGGAAAAAAAATTAGACGAACGTGCGAGTAACCCAAGTGACGTCCAGGTCCTTAACTTTATCGTGGAAAATGTTTGTAAAAGTTAGAAATCGTTTTGTGGACATGTGATTTAACATTTATTTGGATCCGATGAGATGGATATTCGAGCCTGGAAAGCAAATGCCTCTGAGAAACTTTGTCCCAAAGGTTCAAAAGAAGAAATTGACTTTAGGTATCAACAAAACTTAAAAAATCTCATCATCCAGATTAAGAGGATCTCTCGACATCTCTCATGTACCCAGACAAATTTACCACTGAGAAAAAAGACCAATCGAACAGATCATTCCGAACCAAAAACTGGTCCAATGACAAGAAATTGAATCAATAAATTATAGTTCTTGGTGAATTTTCTATATAATATTTATATTTATTGATGATTTCGACGCTAAAAAGTATTTGACAGTTCTATCAGTTTCTAGAATCCTAATAGTCCGGAGAAAAATAAGCAATCTATAAAATTCAATAATCTTATGAATGTTAAATTCGAAGCTCTTTCAGCCAATTGTCAAGTTAATAATCCACATGACGCAAAAAATGTTCTCTATTCATGATTAGCGATGATTGACAGCGGACGAATGATTTGTCTCTAATTCGGTATTCGTATGACTGTAAAAAAAACTAATTTTCATGAATAACATTTAGTTCTGCCTCATGCTGGCTGATGAACTTTATGAATATTCATTGAATTGAAAGACGCAAAAACTCATTGTTTGTCGTTTGATTGTTGTGAATGACAAATTATCATGACGCTGTTGGAGAAAATTTAAAAAGCTCTATGATTAAGATTGACCTTTATGGTTGGTCACCTATTGTCGATAAAACGAATTCGGATTGATTAGCCTAAGAACTTTTATCCATCAGTCTATGATTCAAAGTGAAAGTAATTGTAACTCTAAAAATGATCTCGATTAAATCTGTTAGAATAATAACCGTTATTGTTGGATTATTTTCAATCGCAGATTCTATCGTAAGAATTATTAAGTCTTCAAATTCCCCTGGGAAAAAAACTCTCACTTATTATGAACTAATATTCAGGGAGCTCACTAGATCCTCATATGGTTTATTATTTGTTTTCGGATTAAAATGGAAAAAGTTGAAAAAGTTTTACGATCTAATTGGAATGATGAACCTGGAAGATCAATTTCCGAATCGAATGGAAATCAATAAACAGAAAATCATAAAATTTAGCATCTTAAACTTTCTAGTTTATTTCGTGTTCATGATATCTTATATAATATTCAGTTTTCCAGCAAGTAAAAACTACAATGGGTTAAGTTTCATGTTATCTGATTTTTTATTCAAGCTGATACATTGTATTGGATGTGCAAAGTTGTTCGTAATTTGTGCAATAATAACTTACCTATCATCTTATGTAAGAAATTGTTTCGAGATAATTAACTGGAAGATTCTTGTATTCAGTCGATTAATTGTTCGTGATACTAATGGACTCAATCAAATTCGATGTCTTTACAGTAACAATATAAAGGCTTGTGAAGTCGCTAATAAATTCTGCTCGTACATCATAACATTCACATACTTTGATTGTATGTTTTTCAATCCAATTATATTCTATCGATACTTTATTGATGATATGCAAGATTCCCTACTACTAAACTGTGTGATTTTTAGCTGTAGAATTGCTCATTTAGCTCTGATTACTTATCAACTTGTATCTGTAAACACTGAATCTTACAAATCAATTGAAGTATTACATGAAATTGCTTCAAGTTACGATATTCACCAAAAAGAGGTAACTATTAATAATTTTATCGTCTTTGTTTTGCTAAATTAAAATCTTAATGGACTTTTTTCCTCTTTCTTTACCTTTCAGATCGAACTGTTTCTCATGCGGATGCATAATAAAAACATTGGATTCAAATTCTTTGGATTTATGATTATCGATAAAAACTTTATCGTTTCTCTTTTCTCTGTTTCACTTTCGATAATTCTTTACACAGAAACAATCATAAAATTCTGATTCATATTAAATATTAAAATCTGTCCCCAATTATTGTTCAATTCATACTGATTTCTTAAAATGTTCGTTAGTCATGAACAAACTTCATCCCTTTGTACATTTGATTCAATTAAATGATAACTCTCGAGCTAAAGTTCACAAATCATGGCGAGTGGTATCGCAAAATGACCACTTTTAAATAGCCTTACGATCCAAATTTCCAAAAAATTCTAAGCATCGAAAGAATATTGGATAGCGATAATCATAGCAGCCTCTCTCTCTCTGTTATTATTTTTGAATCGCGTGCTCTCAAAAAGTCTTATGCTTGTGTACATAAAAAACTTTCATTCAGAATTTCTCATGAAAGGACGTTCAGATTTTTCTAACTAGACTGTTTTTCCGTTTTGTACGATTTTTTGATATCCTGACCTTTCGTAAACTCCTTGTAGCTGTTGCGTAATCTTTATCCGAATTTCAGTAAATCAGTCGGAAATTTTCAGAAAGATGGGCTTAAGCACATGATCACCAGACTCTTAAGATGGTAACAATCGTGAATTTGGATGAATTCTTGCGACAAAGTTGAGTTCGCCTTGGTTGTGATGTTTTCGTTTCTATGGCAAACGATCGACCAAATGTACATTTTTGATTCGCCGAAAGATCAATAAAATAGATTGGAGTTCAATACAAATCTATCAATTGAAAGCCAGTTGGAAAGATACAGGTCGGTACAAAAAACATTTGAACAAATTTGTCGCCTAATTGTCGCTCCATCAGAAGTCATGACTAGACAAATAGACTATCACTAGAAAGCATTTTTTCTTGGCTATCCAATTATACTAATTAAATTTTTCAGTTGATTAAGATCATGAAGAAATTAGACAGTGAAGTGATTGGTCGAATTCGTGAACTTTTAGGCCTAAACTGGTCATTTTCACGAATAAGAGACCATTTAAAAAAAGATGGCCAACTAGTTTCTATTGGGTCAATATCTAACATCAAAAATAATAAGTCAAATTTGAAAAAAAGTGCCAATAAGGAAAATCGTGGCCGTCCGCCGAAAATTAGTGAAAATCAGCTTTCTAAGCTGCGTGAACTCGTGCTCGAAAAAAACCCTTTGCCTCAATTGACCATGGCCAAAAAACTTAATGTAACTAAGCGAATGGTAAACTATCATATACATCAAACGTTGGGTAAAAAAAAGGTGTTAAAGCCTAAAGGTCACGTCATAACGGAAGCGATAGCAAAAAAGAGACGGAGTCGATCTTTGGCCCTCTACCGGCGACTTAAGGAAGGAAATTGGGAAAAGTTCATCACTTCGGATGAGTCGTTAATCAGGCTAGATGAATCGAGAGGTCAAACTCGAATTCAATATATTGATCAGAATGCAAGCCGTGATGAAGCCGAAATTTACACTTCGAGTAATTTCTCTAAGACGATAATGGTTTGGGTGGCATTTTCGAGCCGTGGAATTTTCAAACCAAGATTTGTTCCGCCAGAGTGTAAAATCAATTCCAATTATTATATTAAGAATATTTTGAAACCTTTTTTCAAAGAGGACGTAAAGAAATTATTCCCTGAAAATGATTTCATCTTTCATCATGACTCCGCCCCCTCTCACACGGCCAAACGGACGATCGAGTTCTTGAAAAGTTCTGGTATCAAGTTTATTCAACCCTCAGAGTGGATGCCTAACTCGCCTGATGCATCACCATGTGATTTTTATCTATTCGGTCGACTAAAATCGGCTCTCAGTAAGGTTGAATGTTCGGATATCGAGCAACTGAAAAAGGCAGTTCGACGAGAACTTAAACGAATCCCGTTACATGAGATCAGACGAGCTCTAGAATCATGGCCTAAACGTTGCCGGGAAATTTACCGAGCTCATGGTTATCATATTGAATCATAATTCTGAGTAATTAATTAATTACATTGATTTGAATTTGTTCAAATGTTTTTTGTACCGACCTGTAATTTCGTCTGAATCTTTCAGGTCCCGTTGAGAAAATTGAAATAAATGTTATTATTTAATTCTTAAAATCACATACTGATTCATTCTAATTTTTTTCTTTTTAATCAAACGAACCCTAACCAATTGTTCTCAATGACATTGATGCATTATCATGACAATAATTCTCTTGATATTTTGTCCGCTGGAAATTTATTACTAGAAATAATTGCAATAAATCTAAGCTATTGAATAAGTACCTGTTATATTTTCACTCATGTTATTATCTTTATTCACAGAAAAAGTGGCAAGAAGCACGACATAACCGATATTGAGATAAATTGTGATAATCTTCGTATCTTGAACATGATATCGTTACGATTGATCAGAATTGTAACAATAATCACTGGTATTTGTTTAATTTCATTTTCCATAATAATATTAAGTTCTTCAAGTTCACAGAGGAAAAACACTCTAACTTATTACGAAATGTTATTCAAGGAGTTTTCTAGATGCTCTTATGGCTTATTATTTATCTTCGGATTAAAATGGGAAAAGTTGACAAAGTTTAACAATCTGATTGGAATGATGAACCTGGAAAATCAATTCCCTAATCGGATGAAGATCAACAAACGACAAATCATAAAATTCAGCATCTTACACTTTCTGGTATATTTCATATTCATAATAACAAATATATCAATCACTTTTCTGGAGACTGATTGGGATAAGTACTCATGGTCATTTAATATCATTCGTAACATTCTGAAACTGATAGCAGATGCAAAGTTTCTTGAATGCGCTTTGATAATAACCTACTTATCATCTTATGTTAGAACTTGTTTCGAGATAATTAACTGGAAGATTCTTGTATTCAGTCGACTAATTGTTCGTGACACTAATGGACTCAATCAAATTCGATGTCTTTACAGTAACAATATAAAAGCTTGTAAGGTCGCTAATGAATTCTGCTCGTACATTATAACATTGATATACTT